TTGAGGATCAAGTTCATTTTGGCATGATTGAGAGTCTGGGTCAGTTGCAATTAGATATGGGGTCAAGAAGTAATGCAGGGTTGCTTTTTCTGATAAGCTCGCCTCCAGCTCCAGAAGTTTATCAGGAATAAAAAGTAAAAAGTGCGTCATTCATTGTGACAGGTTAGACAAGGAAACACTACAATCTCAAGAACATGGAACTCAGCCGTTTCACTCCAATTGGCGGGTAAGATCAAAAGATACTTTGTGGTATTCATGGTTTCGTTTCCGGGTTCAGCATCATGAGACAATGAGTCGTTAAAGCTTCAAGAATGCATGCTTCCTGAGAATTCGAAGTCACAAAAGGATAACTGTTAGGGAGTTAATGCTCGATTGCTTAGACCTCCAATAATGTTTTGTGCATTTTGGGGGACTTTTTGACATCTTAGCACATTCAAGTTCTGATCAGATCCTAAAATGTCACCTGAATAACTAATCCTCTGTTACTTCTGGCATGATTATTATTATATACGGACTCTGGACAGCTACATTCCCGTCAATCCAGCTGAAGGTGTTTATATATCAACTGGTGAGATATGCTAGAATTTGCACGTCCAAAGTTGCCTTCATGATAAATAGACTCCGCGGACTTTCATTACGTCTCAGACAACAAGACTTTGAAACAAATCTACATCAGAAATCATTTAATAAATCATTCAATCGCCATGGTCTTATCGTCCGAGAAGTATGGTGCCGCCCTGGGGGAGATGAGATTAGCAATCCAGGGTTGAATTGCACCATAATATCCCTACATCCCTTATTTATTACTTAGATTTGTTAGTTTCAGTTGTATCTTGGTACGTATACGCGCACAGTTTTATTTTGTGCGCGTGAATTATTTACTCTATTCATTTAATTGACGTGTACATTTAGTTCGTTACATAACGTCTTAAGTTTACTTTGCGTTATTTTCCACACATTGTGGGTGGCCCCTCCTAAAATGCTTTACGAGTAATAGTTGGTATAGGATTTAATGGAGCTGAAACAAATTGTGGAATTGCACACATTTGATGCATCCTATTGACGAACAGTCACGACATGTAGATGTATCTTTTAGCAACTACTATAATTTGCAGTTTATCCACTTTATAATTATGCGCCCTCGTTGAAGTTGTATCCACGCGCGCGCTTTTTATCACCATGAAATGAGAATTCAGTTACGGTGGAACTAAACTGTCGTCAGAAAAAATAGCCAATGCATTGCTTCGGAGCTCAGAAGAACACTACCAAAGGATTGAAAAGTGAATTTTAAGTAAATAGTGATTATGTGACTACAATAGTAGCTTCGATTCCCTTGCTTGTATTTACACGTTTCTCTGTCTCTTTGACTACAATAGTAGCTTCGATTCCCTTGCTTGTATTTACACGTTTCTCTGTCTCTTTTTTGATCCCTTCAGCTCCACCAACATGGAGGCGAATAAGGACCCAGAACCAAAAGCTGAGTTTAGTGACAACAAGAGCTATAATTTTGTGGGGAAAAAGTTTCCCCGGCAAAAGACCAAGATCACTGTTATCATTATCTTAGTTGTAGTTCCTTTGCTTGGTGCTGTGATTTCCATTAGTTTGTATTTTGCATCGAGAAAAACGGCGAAAACAGCTCCAACTCGTCTGGTTGAAGTAAGCTTGGACAAAGGCGAGACTCTGGCATATAAGGTGAATCAGCAGATAGAAATTCAAGGAAATGGTGCACAGAAGGGTATATCTTTTTCAAGTTCAGTTTTTTGAGGCATTACGTGATGTTTTCCTAACTCCACTTCACTCCTTACTGGTCATGACTCAGTAAGCATATCGTGCGTAAGTTCTTCCTCAAATGAAACCCGGATATCAGAGTTTTATATTTATATTAGTTCAACTGCCCGTGTGTCCCGAGTGGACCCGTGTTCACCTGAACCTTCCGAGATCAAAATAGTTGTCTTAAACACCTGTGCAGACGTATTTTTCGGGAGAGCACTAAGAAGATTAGGAAGAATACAGTGATATCATTGTGGTGGGCTTAGCGGGCTTAGCAGGGTGAGGGAAGGAAGTAGTATTTTCCCACCCCCTCTACACGGCTCTGCCCTTTCGGACTCGACAACAAGCCTGGGTTGAGTTAGTCGAAAAATCGAACAGCGCAAATCCGCCGCGGGGGGTGGGGGAGAGGCTCTCAAGGGAAGTGTGAGTAGAGGTGTGCCCTCCTGGGGGACTCCCATATGAAAGGGGCGGGGATGCTCGTCGCAAATTTTAAATTAACCTCTAAGGAGACCAATCTGGGCGTGGCCCAACCTTTTTTTGACCCTAAAAAGAGAGACCATTTTAAACTTTGATTACGTAAATTGAGTAAAGAAAACGAATCGAAAATATATAATTTTTCTTCGCGTGAGCATCCCCGCCCCTTTCACATGGGAGTCCCCCCTGGGTGTGCTGCCGACTCATTCAGTCCCTCACCCTGTTAAAGGCATTTTGCTACCTTTTTTAAGACAAAAGTTTATGACCTGATTCATGTGTTCCGCATGCAGCAATTTAAGGGGATCAATATTTTAAACTGGCATCATGGAATTATATTTTTCTGCAAAAAATAAGTCTTGGTACCACAAATGTATGGCTAACCTTCATACTGTTAAAGGAGCCAAATAGTAAAATTTTAGACCGTAAAGAGACATATGATTGGCTATCACTCAACCCTCGTGCTCTTGGAAACAACAGATCTCAGAAAAGATCTAAAAATATCTTTAGAAGGATTGAGATAGCTATAGGGCCCATATGGGAGATTAATTCTCTGAGCTTTATCCTCTCTTAGCGGAACTTACCCCTTTAGTCCAGATAAAGGAGTGCCCTCTGGAGTTACCATGCCAACTTATATGCTGTTTTTGTAGGTAACCCACGGAGTAACTGCTAACCAAGTATCTAGGAACTCAGCCTCGTTTTTGTTTTTGTGTTTGCAGCTAACATCGGTGCGATAGTTGGTATCCAGGTCCTTAACAAGACATCCGAAGAGTACTGGTTCCTAGTAAAATTCAATCTGTCATTGTTGAATGGGAACATGGACATGGACAGCCGAAGTCACAGCAAGCATTGAAGGATACGTGTCAGCATACTTTATCCGCGGAGGTGCATACGGAGATGGCACATTAGTTCGCGTTGGTCTACCTGTGATGCTATCCTACCGTGACAACCGTGACCCTGGGAACAAGTGGTGTGTAGACCTGTCCGTCCGCCTGACCGCTCTGGAGCTGAGTGCCAGCCTTTTCTATCAATGGCGGCACTGGTGGCACTGGGGTACAAGGCATACCCTGTATGAGTTTGGTAAATGGGATGCCATACAGCGCAACTGGAAGGAGCTAGAGAGACCAGTTAAGCGCGGATTGTAGATCGTCCTTTGCTCGAATTAATCTCCCTTTCCAAATTCTACATGAAAAATTTGATAACTGAAAAAGAAGCTACATAAAACAAAAATCTTGAAAAAATAAGTATTAGGCGCGGCTTTTGTCTTGTATTACCTAATGCTTGCTAGTTGAAAGTCACCTTTCGGGGTTTGTCACGGTTTTACATCTTAGGTTAGCCTTAATTATCAAGTTTTTTATTTGTAATCTGTGTTAATCTCCTTCGCTAAAACATCGCTTAATCCTTCATAGTTAACTAACTCTTGCGTTCGACAATTAAAAAAAGAATATTTTAATTGAGTTTAAGGAATGAAATATAACAAAACTAGACCCTCAACATACAAGCAAAACTGTGCCGAATTAACTCCAGGCACAATAACTTTTGCGTTTCTAAATTAAAAACGAGCATAATCATCATCAACCTGACAAACTTAATACTTATAGTTATTGTACCCATTTTGTAACTTTTAGCTATTGCCATTGTTGATTCAATCTGAACAATATCTAAATAAATATATAAGTTCTATCAATTTTTGCAAGACACCTCTGTTTGGTATTCTTGCACCAAAACTATTGAAGTTTGTTATAAATGTTATATGTGAGGACAATTTTATATTTCATTTTACTATAAAATTTAACCTATGAAATTGTTTTTTCAATACGGCTACATCTTCTATGGATTAACTCGTATGCTAATGAGCAAAAATGTAAGCAATGACGCCACGATGAATCCGCCTATTCTTAGTGCTACGGGTTATTTATGGTAAGCAACGGCACACACTGCTTTATGAGACTTCCAGTCTTTTTTCTGGCAGTCTTTTGAGCAGTAAAACACGCTTTTACAACGTCCACATTTTAGCAATTTGACGTTCTCTTTAAGGCATGTTTTACACATTCCCAAAAAACTTACTTTTGGGAGATTCCTAATAATGGCTCTTGGGTCATCTGAAAACATCACGGCCATTGATTGCCCTGTCGTGATTGGTAGATGGGTCCTTGCAGTAGAATGACGAATTGACCGATTAAGTCTTTCGCGCGCACCAGGTAGATCAAATTTTGTCGGGTCAAACGTCTTTGAGTCTTTCAGTTGGATCTGCAACAGGCGCATGCCTTCCCTCTTGTAGCTCTCGTGGATAGAGACAGATTGTAGCCATTTGATAGCAAGATTGAAAGTATCAATTCCAAGTATTTGTTCGTCAAATGGGCCATCCGTTACCAAGTCACTCTCAGGTGGACTGATGCCCGTCCCTCCAATAAGCTCCACAGTATCCTCTTGGCCAATTTGCAAAAGTTTGAGCTGTAACGTTACAGGTATTGCCAGGTTATGCTGGTAGTATAAAGTGTTCCCGGCATCCTGCAAAAAGTCTACGAGACAAACATTCCTATCGTCAATGATTTCCGCATTAGTGGCTTCCTGGTTGAATGTCATCACCATCCCAGTGAAATCGTCTTGATAGGGTGTTGTGAACACAATGTCTTTGAAGTTTGACAAGGGTCGGCGCCCAGAGGGATAGCACGTATGCGGGAGGTAGTACATGTATTTTAGAGGCATTATCTTTGAATCCCAGTCGAAGACAGGACACAGAACGCGGGTTTGGAACATGCGCAGATTCATATTTGATGGGACCCTAATGTCTCGGTAAACAGGCACAGATGACCGTAGAACAGAAACACGAACCAGAAAGCTAGTTCTCTCAAGCGACAACGCAATGCGAGGCAATTTTCTGTTTTCGTTAATGTTCTTCAAAACTGCTTCCTGTAAGGGGCTTAATTTTGTAGATTTTTTGGCCGACGAAATAGCTTTCGTGATGCCTTGAAACAAAAGCTCGGCTCTGTCTCTAAATAGCAGGTAGGCGATCGGACGACTAATGGTTGCTTCAGCAGGTATTGGATCGCTTGTGACTGTATACTGTTCTGGATATTCTGGGGACCAGTCATAGCTGTCGTCACTTTCGTCGTCACTGTCCTCGTCGGTTTCTTCGTCTATTTGGCTCTTTTTTTCTTCTTCTTTGGGAGTTTCCTCTTCGGGCGGCCACGATGGCATATCCGTGTCATCCTCTTGGCACCAACGCTGAAAGTCTAAATATTCCTTTTCGTTTTCTGCATCAAACTCAGCTGGGTAGATCAATATCCTACCCTGGCTGTTGTCTATCTCCTAAACGACAAAGGAAAAACATCGTGTAAAAACTGTTCAGCTTCAAATGTGGGTTCTGTGATATGTGATCATGATTTTATCATTACATGATTACGTTTTTTTTATCACTTATATTGATTTATATTCAGTGGGGTTGTAAATTGTGAATATGGTTCTTTATGCACTATTAGCCCTTGTGTTGTTCCCCGACCTTTTAAGGAGGAAGGGTAACGGTGGTATGCACAAATGTTTTATCCTAGACAAATGAAAGACAAACTACAAAGTATTACCTAAACAGAACAAAATAAAACCTTTCTTGTATACAAATCAGTTAGTCAACAAACCGTAAAAAACGAGGACAAAACCAAAACAAAGTAAAACAAAAAACAAGTGACGGAACCTATAACGTGCACACTAAATAACTTTTTTTCCTGAATAGGCCATTTCCGAGTCCCAAAAAATCTCACTTTCAAAGCGAGGCTAAGTGCGAAGCCATTGATATGAAAATGATTTTTAATTATGAGGCAAATAAAACTCATTTTCACAACAAAGGTTTCGCACTTAGCCTCGTTTTGAAAGTGAGATTTTTTGGAACTCTGAAATGGCCTATTGCTCAGCCTGTGATCAAGTGGAAGGGAAAAGGAAGAAGGGAAGGACTGGTGGCTTTTGGTTAGAATTTAATACCTTATAATCTTGAGCATGCTTCGGTTTGTTTGTGACATCCAACTCTTTAGCATCAGTCACCTTCCTTTCACTCTTACTACATATATTCATCTTATCCGAAATTTGCCTGCAAAAGTTAAATTAAAAGTGTGGTGACTACATGCTGAGTGTTGGCGTAAACTGGGCAATGATTGGGAAACCTTGCATTCAGTTCAGAAAATATAAGTAAGATATCATCCTCGTCGGTGAAGTAAACGACAAATAACGGGAAAACTTGGTCATCAGGTACAAAATCACGTTTGCCGTTTGGCGTAAACGTGAATCGTTAAGGTTGTGCTACGGCTGAATCGAATTCATCAGAAGCCCCTCTTAAGTTCTTTTCTCTCTTCAACCTTTCCCCCGAGAAAACACCTGATACTTAGTCAAATTCTCTTAGTCAGAGTTAGCCACGGACGAGGTAAATGATATATAACACATCTGGAATGGGACATGCCAGCCCCAGGACTGTGGAAGCCATGCTGCTGTGTTTTTCACAACCTTAGTGAAGAGAGGATTCCGAATGACCAGTGTTGCCCAAATTCAGATTTATTTCGGACAAAGAGTTGGTGATTTCTAAACCTCCAACGTAAGAAAAAAAGGAACAGTAACTTCGGTGCCGTTAGTCATACTTAAATACTTTTTTTTCATAGTAAAATCCAACTAGTTGTCTATTATCAATGCTGCGTTCTGATTGGTTGAGCTACTACAAGGCTATATGTTATAGCCCACTTGTGGCGAAAAGCACTGGCTTTGAAAACCAAAACAGTGGCAGCTGAATCGCGTTTTGGTAGCTAAAGTTGTTTTGTTTCGATATTTTTGACCAACTAGTTGGAATTACTAAAAACAATTATTCCTCTCGCCCTCATGGCCTGTGAGTCAATAGCCCATGAGGCCGAATAATTGTTAAATACCTCACTTTTATTTCTTAATTCTAAACGACGTAATTCAAATTATTTTTGATTGCAAATAATGCAATCAGTAACAGGGAAGAGCTACCCTGTGGATCTGTTAAATAAACGTCATCATCATCATATCCTTTCGAACAATACTGACTAAAAACTGAATTCCGTAGAGGGGGTGGGGCGATATAAAATGAAAAGTAAAATATTGTCCTGACAGGCCTTGTGACATCAAGTTCACCGCTTCAAATTTAATATGATCGAAGCTGAATGTGCTTCTGATGTAATACATCTCAAAACTGTTCGAATGAATTGTCTCTAACCTGATTCGATTTTTATTGTAGTCCAGTGTTCGTATTTAATTCTACTGTATTTACCCTGACGACTGACTTCAGCAAATTTTCACTTTTTATTCAATATTTATATCTATGGGCATTTTTGTCTTGAAAGTAACAAGGAAACGTAAGACCTCAACGATTACTTCGTTAAATAGACTTCAAGTCGATACGGCCCCTTTTAACAAATACAGGATACGGCCGGAAAGCCTGGCGGCGACGAAGGACAATCGAATCAGAAAAGTCGCTGTGCAGCTGGCGTTAAAACTATAGGTGTAAAGTAGTGCTTTAAATTGCTACTACGGAAGGTATTGACATCAAAACAGAGCAAAGCCCTTACCTTACAGCTTAATATTCAGCGATATGAAACATAAATGCAAAGTGGTTAGGAGAAAATCACGCTCGAGTCGATTTCTCGGAAACAGGTTTCTCTTGTGCGCGTGCGCAAAAGTTTAAAGGGAGGGGGTAGGGGGAGGGGACGAAAAAGGAAAGACCTCTCAAACGACTTTTTGTGAGTTCGAGTAAGTCACGGTAAGCCTGATGTATATGGGTCGAAATCACAGAAAAGCCAGTTTTGTAGGGTGTCTCGAAAACTGACAACTAACAACTAGAATTCTCAGACCTCTTGGTCTAAATTTACAGCCATTTATGGATAAATGCACAAGGAAATTTAGGAGTCACCAGAAAACAATTCACTACAAAACACTAGTACTTCAGCTTCAAGCGGCTGATACAAAAGCTGACTGCGTGTTCACAGATACCTTACGCTTACAGTAACGGGTATTCCCCAAAATACGTACACGCCCGGTATGCTCAGCCCCATTTTTTTACCCGCACGGGTGAGTGCTGCATGTATGACCCCCCGCACTAGGACCGGATGGAAAAGTATTGTATCTGAAGCTAGCTTAAATACTGGTTTTTACTAGCGACGGAGAGTCGGAGTCGGAGTCGAAGTCGTTAGGGCGCTTATGACCTAGTGAAAATCAAAATCGGAAGAAGTCAGTCAGTCAGAAGTCAGAACAATCACAAGAATCAGAAGGTTTCTATTTTCTTCCGACTCCGCTTACGACTCCGTTGCTTACGTTTTATGATCTAGCAAAAACCAGACTGTCGGAGTCGGAAGCAGAAGAGGAAGGATAAACCAATCACAATGCATGTTACCACACAGTTCTTCCGCTTCAGCTTGCGACTTCGACGATCCAGTTTTCACTTTATTGTAAACGAAGGATTCGTAAGCGGAATCAGAACGCAGTTTTCCCTAGACTCTGACTCCGTCACCAATGAAAGCCAGCCTTGGATGGAAGCGCCAGTTCCAACTGTAGGCTCGATTAGCAGCCGTTGTTCGGGAAAGGAGCGCACGCTCCTTTCTCGACCGAGAGTGCGGTGGAAATCAAGCTTGAAACGCTGAATAGCATTGAAAAGTCATTACACCCTAATGTCCTGCTGTCACTCATATGTGCTAAGAAACGAAGCAAATTTGAAAAAGCAAAGCAGTGGAGTTTGGATAGAATCGAAGATGTTTATTTTTAGAAACAGCTTCTCCAGCTCTGCAAGGTTCCAAAATGTTTAATATGGTACGTGTCGGTATTTTCTGAGTCGTTATCGTCTATTATCAGAAAACGTCTGAGGTCGTCTGAGGTCAGCTTGAACAACAAAAGAAATGCTATAAAAGCTCAAGCTCGTTTTGACGTCTTTCATTATTTTCCTTGATGTACGATTAACTCAGTGATGTCTGCGACAGCTATAAAAGGTGTCGTGTACCAACAAATGATTTACTTTAGAAGCACTATTTTTTCAAAATATACTTTTCAATCTTCTTGACTGTTATATTTCTGGGTAGGTTTTTTATTAACAATCTGGTACAGCTTTTGGTAATTGTTGGGTCTACAGAATTAACAGCTTAAAATTGAGACATAGATGCTCATTAGCTCTTTGTGAATTTACAACGAATTATACAGTCGCAAAAAGCCTGTACTCCGTTCTTGAGTTTTCAAATTTATGAAGATGGCTCCTTTACTGGAGCGATTCTAGATTCTAAAGTACAACACGCGGTTTCCGGAAACAAATTAAGATCTTACGCAAACAGTTTTACTGACTGCTGGATCACTAACGCTCTACTGACCGCTGGATCAACTCCGGCTCAATTTGAAAATCCCTGAAGCACATCGCTGCATTCGTCCTTTCTTCCTCTGCAGGCTGCGTCACACAGAGCCGCAACTTCCCAACTACTGTAACTGAAAGGTAAGCAGCGACTCGAAAGAGCAAAAAAAAACTAAAGGATAACAAAACTATTTAGGTGGCTTCCCTTAGACTTCTAAATTTCCAGTTCTCAATAATATATGTCCACTGCATGACTAGGTTGTTTATTAATTCACTCCAATGTGAGTTAGATTTACACAAATTTTCTTGGAGCCAATCTAATGCAAATCAGAAAGAAGAAGGTAAATATAGATTCGTAAAGTACGTTTACATTAACTGTTTGAGAAGAAAGTAATCGGAATCGATATAAAGGGAGAGTGAATGGTTTGGTTACATCGTAGCCATGGCAACATGGAAATGGAGTCTTTTGTGGCCTTAAGATCGGAAGTAAAAAACTTACGATATTTCACAAGAGTTACGATAGAAGTGAGTTGAAGGACGTACATGTAACGCCAATAAAACGTGACTGGAGAATTGGAATAGTGAGTGTGTCTGCTTCTGAAATGCTTCTTAACTACTTGTTGCACACTGCTCTTTGGTGAAGCCTCTTAAAAGTATTGTACTCAAGTGATGTAATTAATTGATCTTATATCGTGTGCTAACCGGCGCACTAATCACTCTGAGTCACTTTTGATCACTTGAAAATGTATGTTGACTGGCGAACGAAACGTCAAGTTTGTATAAACATGCGAAAGTTCGCAATGTTTATCACCGCTGTTTGTGTTTTATTCTTTACCAAAATACTGTGATTTTGGAACAAATCACGAAATGATCACGTCAACCTAAAAACTGTTTAGTTGAATTTACATTTCACCATCTGTGTTACAAAGGTAACTGTCGTTTTTCTTTTCTTTCTATTTCTTAGCCTTTTTCTATTCCTGTTCTCATCTTGAGGGTTGGGGTGGAGTTCAGCCTAAGTTTTGACGTCTCTATCCAGCTGAATTTTCCAGTGGAGCAGTATTCTCTCAATCCTGTTAATTTAGCTGTAGAGGTGAGTACTCCATTACGCGGCCTGTCCAATCCTCCGAGAGGTACACTCATATCCTGTCCTTAACAAACTTGTAGTTGTTACTCACCATTTAACTTCTTTTTTCGCTAGATTGACCCTTCGGCCGATGCAACAGTGAGTATTGAAGGATTTGTTTCGGCATATATCATCCGAGGAGGTGTCTACGGCGACGGAACATTGGTAAGGGTTGGTCTTCCTGTGACACTGTCCTACCAAGAAAACCGTTCTCCTGGGAGTCAATGGTGCACGAGTCTGTCTGTCAACCTGACCGTTCTGGAGCTGAGTGCCGGCCTTTTCTATCAATGGGGGCACTGGTGGCACTGGGGTACAAGGCATACCCTAAATGAGTTTGGTAAATGGGATGCCATGCAGCGCAATTGGAAGGAGCTAGAGAGATGCGGTTAGGCGCGATTGATGGATATCGATCTCATCCGTGAAAAACTTTGTATGCAGCATAATTATCCGGAAGGGGCTTAGTATTAAAAAATATACTTAGAGGAGGATTCTAATCATTGTAGTCTTTTCTACGACAAAAATATCAGTAGTCAAAGACAATATTATAGTTTCAGTATACAAGTACACCTTTACAGACTTGCGCAACTATCACAAAGTGCACTAATAGTGATCATA